TATATATATATATATAAATGTGAGAAGCACTGCTATAAAATTAATGTGTATTAAGTACTTGTTTAAGCTTTACACAGTGCTATAAATTACTGTTTTTAAGTGTGGCAGAGTTCTAGAATGGATTGAAAATTAAAAAAAATATATATATATGTATGTATGTATGTATAAAATTTTTGAGTATCTCAGTTAAAAGGAACCAGTTTGAGCTTTCCATTACTGGGGAATGTCATGAACTGACACTGAAAAAAAAGTCTGTTATGTGCCAGAAATGATTCTAGATATAGTGTATCTTGATTTAAATAGATTTATGATCACTTCACATGATGCCCTTGTAACTGACGCACATTTTCAGATGAACAAACCACCATACTGAAGAATATTCATTTTAGATTTCTTATAGCAGGTTGCCCCTTTAGCTGTAGACTCTAATTTTACTTATCCTGTAAAAAATTTTATAATACTGTAATTATTTCCATTGCTTGTGGACCACTGTAAGCAGGAGAAGGTCATAGACAGTGTCTGGCTCATTAACAGCTGTATTCCCAACGCCTCGTACTATTAAAGAATGTTCTTTAATAGGAGCTCAATAAATACATTTGAATGATTAAAATGAATGACTTATTGAAAACAGAGGTCAACCTGGGCAGGGATCTTTACTGATTTTCTTACAGGTTTCTATTCTCTGACGTGAGGCTAATGAGTCTATAAATGACTTGAAAAAAGACAGCAGAAACACTATTATTAATACATTTGTGGATGACAGAAAGGCTGGGATACTTAAAATGATGGCTAGCTTATGAAATGTTTCTAATGGAATAAAATGGAAACATAACTAAGATAAAGCTTAACAAGGCTAACTGTGGTATGTGAATTGTGTTTTTAAAAATCAGCTGCATTAATGAAGGGTGGAAGACCTGGCTTGCTAATCAGTTACCAATAACAGTCGATAATATAACAAAAGGCTAGTGTGATTTCAGATTGTTTCAAAAGCACATGGTGAATTGTAACTCACCACATTCTGAACTGGTCAGAACGTGTAGCATTTTATCTAATTATAGGTGGAACTTTGGGGAACCTTCACAAATCAGAATGACATAAGTGAATGGATTTCGCGAGGTGTACAGTTGCCCATGGTTATAAGGACACTTTAATTAAGTGTATTCATTCATCTAAAGAACAGAGTGTAATGAACTGGTATCTCTTTTGCTGTCACTATTCGGTACCCCTTCTAGCTTCAGGCTATAATTTAATTGTTCAATTACTTGATGCTCATTATCTTACATACTGATGCCATCACTAAATGATCTAAGTAAAATAAAAAATCAGCAAAGGGAGTCAGAAATGAAGTCTAATCTGTTTTCACTGAGCTAATGAGGAAGACCTGAAAGCTATTCAAATAGACCTTGGGGGAGTCTTTCTTGAAACCAAGGCATAATAATGCCTCCTTTATCCCCCATTACTGGGGAATGCAGAAAATCAAAGTAGTGAATTTAGTAAGATAATGGAAGCTTATACCTTTAAGCCCTGGAATTCTTTTTCTTTTTTTTGCTATTGGGGAAACTGATTGTAATAATAATAATAAAAAAAAGGCTCAGGGCCATTGTTATTCTAACCAGCAATAGGGGAACTTGAGAATGTATGCAGCTATTTGTCCCCATTAAATGGCTGCAGAATGCTTTTATGGTTTCCTTTTGATTTTGTTTTAAAAAAAACAACAACCTTCTTTTGTTTTCTTCTTGTTGTTTATCTGCGTGTTTCTAATTTGCTGCCTAAACTTAGGTGCAATACAAGACCTGCCTTGTCCCCTATTCAGTTCTTCTAATAAATAGGTTTTATGCCAACCTATTTATTTATTCTTATTTAATCTTCCAGTTGAGTCACTAATCCTGGCTTCCACTACTGCAGCCCCATTCCCGGATGCTGGGAACTGTTCTCATTGCCGGCTTCTTTAAAGTCCCCCATTCCCTGCCCTGTCCTTGCAAGCCTTCTATTGCTTTCCCACTCCTGACTGAGGTACAGTTCCAAGAAAAAAAAAATATATATATATATTTAAAGTATTATTGACCTTTAACAAATAGTCAGATATTTCTCCAGCAAAATGGGTTTGTTCAGGAACAACAAAGAACGACAATTTGGGACATGTGGTCTCATGGTGAACCACCTGCAGATCCAGAGAAAAAAAGGAGAGGAAGCTCTTCTAGGAACTCAGAGGCATGGGCTGAGCTGTTACTTTTCTACCTCCTGCTGAGGTAGTGACATAGTGTGACTTCCTGTCGGAGAGGCAAGGTTTCTTTTGGGGGCCAATAGTTAGCATTGAGTGACATGTGTGCAGGAGTTCTCTCTTCTAGCCTCCTGACTCCATTTAAATGAGGTTTCACAGTATCATAACAAAGAAGGAAGGACTGGGAAATAAAATAGGAGGAGAGTGGGAGGGAAGGTCTCCTGTAGCGTTCCAAGGAAAGTCCCAAGTTGTCTTTTGAAAACCTGTTTTGAGAGGCAGTGGACACTTGTGTTCTGGTGAGAGGAGGGGGATGGTAGCACATTGCATGTGTGAAATTGTGCATGGCTTCTGGGGACAGAGAGAGAGACTGGAAGAGAGCTTGGGTTCCATGGGTGGCTCATGCCCTGACAGAGTGTGTAGGATACAGTTATATAGCAATGGTGCACGCCATAGAAGAACATCATTTTAATGGATTGACACGTTGGTCCTCCTTTGAAGAGTTCAGGTATGGCCAGACGGGACGTCCCCAGAAACCCGTCAGATGCTGTTTGTCCTGCTCTCCTTCATTTCCCAGGGAGGAAGTGGCATGCTCTCCTGGGCACCAACCTCCGTCCTGGCACTAGAAAGCAGCAGAGCAAGTCACCATGACTGTCACCATTTGGGAAGCATTTTAAAACGCTGACCCATTTATAGTATTAACTTGAGGTTTCTAGACTTCTAAAGCAGAGGTCTTAAACTTTTTGGCTTCAGGGCCCCTTTGTCTTAAAAATGATTGAGGATGCCTGGGAGCTTTTGTTTAGGTGGGCCATATCTATCAATATTTACCATATGGAAATTAAAGCGGAGAAAAACTTAAAACACAAGAACACACAGGCACACGTCCCACGAAGTGACACGGAGGCCTCTGGACAACTCTGCTGTACACTCGAGAGAGAAAAGTGAAAAAGCAATTAGCATCTCAGTATGACTATGGAAATAGCTTTGACTTTGCAAAGCTCCTGAGAATGTCTTGAGGAAACTCAGGGGTTTCTCAAACCACAGTTCTGAGACCTGTTGCTCTTAGTCTTCTATGAATAGAATTCGGGAGATTTGAGGTCTTAGGCGGGGAAAAGTTGTCTCTGACTTTCACTAATTTCCAACAGACATTTCCTTTCATTTCTAACGGATGCATAATCCACAGCAATATCAGGAGTGCCTACGACTTTGTTCCCAATAGAAATTGCAGATGTGTTTATAGCATCTCAGGTTATTGCAGGCATCTTAAAATATCATTTATGTGCATCACTACTTTGAGATTATGGTAGACCTGCTGCTAGATCTTGTAAATGTATTGATAAATAGGCACCCAGGTTAGTATTTTGTCATTGAAAATTACTTTGATAATGCTATTTTAATATAATTTCCTATGCGATCCTGTCTTGTATTTTATGCATTTAAGAATGATATTTTGAGAACAGGTTAGTGGCACACAAAAGGTTAAGAATGCTTGAGAATTTCAAGGACCTTAGAAGGCCTCCAGCGTGTTGTCCTCATGGAAATGTCTGTTGTGCATTGGTTGGGATCCTGGTGATATGCTGAGACCATGAAACATCAGCGAGGAAGTGTGCTGTCATTGGGTGAACCCAGTTGACACGCAGTATGTAGCTGACACGTCATTCTTGATTATTCCAGTGCAGCCTTCAGAACTGGACTCCTAGTAGGGTGTTAGACATTTGCCGACTACTTTGAAGAGTAATCCATTGTCTGTTTCCTTAAAGTCAGAAATAGGCTGTTGGCTTAAAAAGCTTGTTCTGCTTGGTCTGGCATTATGAAATCTTGCCTGAAATGTTCTGCAAGCAACTCTGAATTGTCAATACTTACAAGAGTGCAGTGCTCAGAAGGATTCTAAATTAAACAGATAACCAAGTAAGACATAAATCAATAAAGTTAAGGCTGTTGTTTTCACTCGTTGGAATAAGCTAGCTGGCATTTTTCAGGGGCAGTCTGAGAGTCAAAAGTGGGACGTGATTCTGAAGGGACAGAGCCCTGACCTTTGGGTCACGTGATTTATCTTGGCTAGTTTCTGAACAGTGAACCCTCTGGAGATGCTGTGGTGATGTAATAAAACAGGGCACTGCATTCAGAGTGAGATGACTTTAGTCCTTGTTCTGCCTCTAACTGGTGGTGGGGTTTTCGGAGAGCTTCTTAGCTTTCCTTGTCCTCATCCTCAGAGCTTCTGCAGCTCAAATACAGTAGAGCCCCTCAGCCTCGAGAGATACATTCCAAGACCACCAGTGGATGCCTGAAACCGTGGATAGCACCGAACTCTATATAAAGTATGCTTTTTCCTATACCTGTGATAGTTTTAAATTTACAATTTATAACTGAGTTGATTTATGAATTAGACACAGTAAGAGATTAACAACAATAACTAAGAATAAAATAAAACAGTTATAAAAATACACTGTGATAAAAGTTCTGTGAATGGCTTTGGGGCCATTATGAAATAGAATAAGGGTGCCTTGAACACAGCCCTGTGATACTGCGACAGTCAATCTGATAACCCAGATGGCTACTACATGACTAACGGGAGGGGACAGCCCAAGATTTCATCACACTACTCAGAACAGCGTGCAGTTTAAAACTTAATATTTCTGGAACTTTTCATTTCGCATTTTTAGACCGCTGTTGAACGTGGGTAACTGACCACGGAAAGCAAGACCACATCTACCGGGTGTACTGTGTTCTATAATAACTAGAAGTTTGGGAATAGACTCATTAATGCATCTATTAATTAAAACTTATTGCACACCTACTATGAGCCAAACATTATATTAGATCCTGGGAATGCAACAGAGAACACCGTCCCTGCCCTCAAGGAGTCTGTAGGCTAGCCCAGGGGTCGGCAAACTGCGGCTCGCGAGCCACATGCGGCTCTGGATGCGTACATGTGGCTCTGAAGTAACACTGAAAATGAAAATAAAACTATCAGAGTTTCATTTATAAAAATTTTAAAAGATATTATTCACATAATGGCGATTTCATTTGTTTTGCGGCTCTTGAATAATTTTTAAATTGTTGTGAAGGACAGGATTGGCTCTTCCGTCCCAAAAGTTTGCCGACCCCTGCTCTAGACTTTAACCAGCGAATGAAGATTTATGTAGAACTCACTCTCCAGAGAGAACATATTTGAAATTCCATGAGGATTGTCCTATCACATTCACACAACATTTACAGGGTCACTCTTGGCATTAACTGGAACCTAGAAGTGAGTAGTCCCTGATCCTTTTCCTATAACGACCTTTCATTCGCTTATCCGACCTTGACCAAGGGCCTAAAATGTATGAGGCTCTACGCTACACCCTGGATCACAGGTTTCTTGCCCTGAAGGGGTTCACAGGGCAAAAAGATACCAATAATTAAGGCAATAAGGGCTCCAGCGGAGTGCATAGAAGGCACTTTGCATGTCCAGAGGGAGACACGCCTGAGCCCGTCACATGCTGGCCTTTTAGGAGGTCAGGAGATGCTCAGCGGAGGTGCTGATCTGGCATAAATATCTAGACTTTGAGGGCTGAGTTGCAGTTTGTAAGGTGGACAAATGAGAGAAAGCCCGTGTGATCATGCTTTGGGATCTGGTCTGGGACACCAGGCCGTTTCTGTGTCTCAATGTCTGGGCTGGGGAGGTGTCTTTGAAATACTTTAATATAATATTGAAAATGTTGAGGAGGAGGTGGCTGGGGTGTTGGATGTTAACGTTTCACTGGTAACTTTCCCTTTAATGTGTGTGTGTCTATATGTGTGTGTGTGTGTGTGTGCACTTTAGAAAAAACGCCCAGGTTAATGCCTGATAGAGGAAGCATGTATTACCCTCGGGTACAGCACTACCGAGAGCTGCTCGACTCCCTGCCAATGGACGCCTACACGCACGGCTGCATTTTACACCCAGAGCTAACTGTGGACTCCATGATCCCAGCTTACGCAACGACAAGGATTCGCAGTATGTAAAAATCTTAAAGATCTGCAATTGTAACTCGAGCGTCTTTCAGTTGATTGTGAGTCCTAGCACATCTCATGGTCATTGAGAGAAGATGGGACAGGTTTGTTCAGTGGGTTTCCTGGACATACAGGTTACAGGCGGATTGATGCACTGGTCAGATGAATGTAATTCGGCTGTTCAGCTGGACAGTTAGTGTTTGGAGGGCCTGATTTTCCAGCCCTTGGCTTTGAGGAGCCAAGTGTGGATAAAACTCAGGAGAGGGGGCCTCTGGGAAAAGTAAAGACCATCACATGTTCTCATGGACAGATGGACGGGGGATCAGGAAAGCTGGGATCTGCTGGGATGACAGGCAACCGAGTTCACATTTCTGGTCCTTTCCTGTTCATTATGGGAAGGAACTGAACTACAGGCCGTCTAACCATTCCTCTGCCTCTCAATTCAGTGACTGGGGCTTCACAGAGGTTGAGTGATGACAGCCAGCACCCTGCTTTCCTCCCGCCCTGAGGACAGAGGAGGGTCAGTGTGTGAGAGGCAGGGCAGTGGGACCTGTGCTCTCCGGCCCCGGACCTGGGGACAGGAAGGTCAGGGGGATGGCTGTGGCCCGACTCGGCGGGTGTGACTGGGAACACGCAAACCTAGGTCTTCGGAATTTAGAAGCTACATTGTTTCCAGCATGTTGCGCCTCACCTTTATCCTTCCCTTACTTATATTACTTTTCTTTTTGGTGCCTCTCCTCCCCTCTTCCTTCTCTTTCTTCCTCTTCTGTTTTTCTCCTCTCTCGCTTCCTGTTTGGCACCTCCCTCTTGTTCTTCCTCCTTCTCTTCATACGCACTCGTGTACGATTTGAAACAAGTGCATGGAAAGACACAATTCTGTCACCTAGAGTTAATATGCTTTTTTAATAAGGCCTTTTCCTTCCCTTCATACAGAAGTTTATTAGAGAAAGTCTGGAAGGTATGGAAAGGCAGGCCAGCTCCCCTGCCCTGAGCAAGTGCTGGGCCTTTCCCTAAGTGCTTTCCATTTAATCCTCACCCTGTGTGCGGGGACTCTGATGGCCCCGTTTTACAGGTGAGGAAACTGAGGCACAGAGAGGGGAAGGCGGAGGAGGAGGCAGGACATAAACCCCAGGACTCCGTCTCTTGTCACCGACTTTCCCCTGCTTCACCTTCTCTCTTGCATAGAAGGGAGGAAATAATGTTCTGTTTCAAAACTGATTTCATTATCAGGCCAAATTGGGAACACAGAGTCTGAGCTGAAGAAACTTGCCGAAGAAAACCCCGATTTACAAGAGGCATACATCGCCAAGCAGAAGCGACTTAAAGTAAGTGCACCGGCCGCCCTCAGCTGACATCCGCCGTCTCTATTACATGTTCCACATTTTGCAAAGCATCACCACTTCTAGAACATCTATTAAGTATCGCAAGTCACCAGTGCACAGGTTACTTTTGGCTTCTGTGGTGCTTTTAGAAAGAATTTTTCTTTATTAGGTTTGATAGTGAAACCTAACGACCGCTGCTTAAAAAGCAGACACGGTGCATGGTGGTTATGGCCAAGGAGAGTTATAAAACATAACAGCAAGTTAATAAAATACTCCAGGAATCTGTCATGTCAGGTGCTCTGCCACGTTAAGGCCCAAGCTGATCTGTCTCTATGGCTTGTCTGCCTAACGGGCCAGGCTTTGGTCCATCAGTTACGCCCGGGATCCTCTCCCCACGGCCCAGCAACACGTGCAAGCCTCTCCCATATTAAAAACGTCGCAAACACCAACACTCCCAGCCTCCCTTAACTTCCCATCTTCCTTTATCTTAGCCAAACGAAACGCCGGCACACATGGCAGTCTTTACTGCCCATTTGCTCTCTACCTCACTGTGCTCATTGCTGAGTTGGGCACGGGAGGAGTCTCTTTGTAGCACTCAGGTTCTTTGACCTCGCTGGTCATCTGGTCCCCCAGGAGTGGCCAGCGAGCAGCGGGTCTGGTCCTCGGGTATTTTCACAGCTGGCGCGTCTCCCCCCAACTCTGCTTTTGTTTTAATGAACTTAGTCTACTTCTCATTTTCTAGAATAGAGAGGCTCCAACTCTGTAAGAGTTTACATCTGCTCTGCTCGACATCGCTCGTTTTTGCAGGCATAAATAACCTATTCAGTTATTTTTGTTAACTAGTCAAAGCTGCTTGACCACGACAATGTCAAATATTTGAAGAAAATTCTTGATGAGCTGGAGAAAGTCTTGGATCAGGTTGAAACCGAGTTGCAAAGGAGAAATGAAGAAACACCAGGTAGGTTCTCATTTGTGCTCTTTTCTCTTGTCCTGGACAGCAGAAGGATGTGGGAACAGTCTTAGATTTCATCAGAAACATTCTGTAGTCTGTTTTTCTACTGTTGTTTTCATGGACACTTTAAATTAGGATAGTGACAATAACACTGAATTCAGCAAAACCGAGGTGTCTAAATTGTAACTCCGCCTGCATCTACATGAAATATGGTGAAGAATTTTTCTGCACAATTTAAGTTATAGGGGAGACATTCCAACCTGGCCTGTGTTGCAAATGTGGAGTTACAGTTTGGTTGAGAAGCCTGAGTAATTGTGAGAATGCGCCCTGTAATTTCTTCCGCAGGCAAGGAAGTATAAAATGGGGACCAGCGCGTGCGTGCGTGTGTGTGTGCATGTGCGCGTGTGTGTGCGTGCGTGCATGCATGCGTGTGCGTGCGTGCATGCGTGTGTGTGTGGCCTCGCACGCGCAGGCCAGGTGGTGAGCATCCATGCACTGTTCCTGCGAGCCTAACTCCACGAAAAAGCCATGGCCCAGGTGCAAGCACGCTGACCACCTGTGCTGTTCTAACTGACAACGAAGTTGAAAACCCTATTCCCTGAAACTTGCTTCACAATAGGGACTCCTGCCTGCCTTAAAGAGGAACTAGGCGCAGCACCCTCTAGGTGACATTTCAGGCCCAACTCTGTGGATTGTCCTGAAGCTCACCTGTCGTTTTCCTTAACCACAAGGAGGTATTTGTTGACTCCTCTGGCTTGGAGGCTGTCAGCCCCTCCCAGCCCTTTGCAAAATGGTAGACAGGCTTTGAGCTCAAGCGGCTGCAGTGTCACCTGGAGACCTGGAAGGCTGAGCGATGTCAAGTGAGTCCCCCCTTAGCTTGGGATCCATTGGCAGGGACTTTGTTTTTGGCACAAATGTCTTGCCGAGTGTGAGTGCAAAGAAAACCATGGCATTTCGCTTCTGCTTCATGCACACTTGCCCTCGACACAGACAAAAGGCAGCAGCCGGGGTGTGTGTGGCAGTGCCCCTAATTCTCCATGTCCTTTCTCTGAGCAGAAGAGGGTCGCCAGCCCTGGCTCTGTGGGGAGTCCTTCACCCTGGCAGACGTCTCGCTCGCTGTCACCTTGCATCGGCTCAAGTTCCTGGGCTTTGCGAGGAGAAACTGGGGGAATGGAAAGCGGCCCAACTTGGAAACCTACTACAATCGTGTCTTGAAGAGGAAAACATTTAACAAGGTTTTAGGACATGTCAACAATATATTAATCTCTGCAGTGCTGCCAACGGCATTCCGGGTGGCCAAAAAAAGGGCCCCCAAAGTGCTTGGCACCACCCTTGGGCTTGGTCTGCTTGCAGGAGTGGGGTATTTTGCTTTTATGCTCTTCAGGAAGAGACTTGGAAACATGATATTAGCACTCAGACCCAGATCAAAATATTTCTAGGCCTGTAGGGACCCGGTGATGGCAGCTTGCCCCCCCATTTAGCTGAACATTGTCCACTCTGCCAGGCCCAGTGAGGCTACTGGGCAACTAGTCAACAGCATAATTTCCTTTACTCTTTGGGTATGTCACGTGGGGAGAGGCGGCGCTGACAGTGCCGTGTGGGCTGGCAACTTGGAGATTACCCATTCGCAAGCCTGACCTAACGTATCCTTAAAACCCGTACAAGGTCAAGATGCATCAGTGCTGACAGGTAGAGAACAGACCTTTGTCTCAAACTGCCAGTTCGAGTTCTGATTTTTTTTTGGGGGGGCGGGGGAGGAGGGGCAGCTATTATTTATGAGCAGACAGTCATAATAACCTGGCATTGCCTATACGTCGTCGTCTGAGACTATCTGGATGTGCGGAGTGTGGGGCAGTTGGCAGTGTTATCCCCTGGGAGTCAGAGGTCATCTTTGTTACACAGCACAACCGTGGCTCGTACCGGCACTGCCAGCTTCAGGCAGAAGTGAGGGAGGCAAAGCGAAGGGGGAACGGGCAGAAAGGGGAGAATGTGCTCTACTCCGTACAGAGCCCAGCAGCAAAAAGCAACTTCCGGTGCCACTTGTGCCCCCCACGTCTGCCTGCCCCTCACGGCTGCCTGCCCCCCCAGCAGACATCACCAGGAACACTTGTGCCCACTGCCCACACACCTCCTGTAGTTGAGAACCCCGGGAAAAGAAGACTAAGGCATTCCTGGGGGAAGTGGGCTGGAGGAGACCCTGGGATTTACACGCAGGGCAACTCCGTGGACCGTCATAATTTTAAAGGCATATGAGTCACACTCGTTGATTGAGAAGAGGCACTGCTTATATACTTGGGTGTGAGATGCCCACTGGGCCATGTCTGCCTGGCATTGACATGAAAAGCTGAAGTGAGGTCAAAATGGTTCCTTTCTTTTCATGGTTTCCCAGTTTGGTGGTGCCTGTGAGGTATCCATCCCTCCTATGGGTGCTGGTGTCCAGTCCTTGGGGGCATGGCCTCTCCAGCCCCGTTTGTGCACGCAAGTGGCATCAGGCGAATGTCCCAGCTAATCAGTAGCACGGCAAGAGGCTGGGTTGGGGGTTTGATGGTCTGGGAGTACGAAATATGCCCATTCTGCATTTGGGGCGGCTGGTGTGTTAGCCCCGAAACTGCTGTCCAGGGCTTGCCTCTGTTTGTGATCGTAACAAAGCTTCAGATGGCTACAGAGGAAGACAAAGGTCTGGTTTTAGCCCCTGGCAGTCAATTCAGGGGGAGATGAAATAAGTGGGATGAAATAAGTGGCTAGGTGGTGACGCCACCCATATTGACTCTTAGATGTCTAGGCTTTTTGGGGGGTACCTCAGTCCATCTGGATGGGACAGTCCCAGTGTACCCCATGAACTACCACGGGCTGCATTTACCAGTCTATGTACAGGAACAATGCCTCATGGTGACAGGATAGGAGGGTTTTCTAGCGCTGGGCAGAAAGGCCTTGGGAGCCGTTTTAGGTCTGGCAGGAAGGACGTACAGAGGATGAGGCGCTGAGGTTCCGGTCAGCAGCACGAGCTTCTGGGTCTGCCTCAGACTGGCTGTGCGAGCATCAAAGGCTGTACTGAGTTTTCATTAACAGGAAGCAGTCATACCTAGGAAACCGTGATGTTTTGATGGTAAAATGATTCTATAAATCCATTTCACGATCCAGTCGCTTTAGAAAATCTTGATGAGCTGGGTATTCCCTGTTTACAAAAATTGGTAACATTTCCAGTGTAAAGTCAACACAACAATCGTTAACAGACTGGCAGCTTTTATAGTGTCTTAATTTTGCACCTCAGTGCACTGTCACATAGTATCTGAATTTGTTCCTGGAACATTCCCATTCCTGTGTTCATAAAAGAGCCACAAACCTGATTATTCAGTGGTTAATAGCATTCTTTACGTAACTCTGTTAGAAGCAAGAACTCGGACATGAAGAAATCAAAACTGGATTTTTATAAAAATCTACAAAGGATTTTTCCTATTAAGTGAGGGTTCTTAAGAATAAAAATTAGAAACCCAGAGCTGGCTTTTAAAAATTTATATTATTAGCGAACCGGAGAAAATCTACTAGGGAGTGTTGATAAATTTCTGATACAGTTTCACTGGACATACGCTGTGTCAATATGCAAGATGAGGCATCCTGGTGACTTCCCTTGTTTTATGGGTACCCTTGAGTTTATCTTTTTAAAATCTTTGTTCAGGGCTACCTTGGCCACTAGATGTCACTGTTGATCCAGTAGTCTGAGAATGGGTGTTATTTTGGGTTCAGCAAGCCTTCTGAAATGTTTCAAGTGAAGATACACATTAATGACCTCAGTTTCTGAAATGAGGGCATCTTCATCAGATCATTCATCTGTAAAAAAGCGTGAGGCACATGTAATATGGATTTCTAATGCTTTGGAAGGGACAACAGCACCACACAATATCAAGCTCAAGATCTGAACGTGTACTATTAGCAAAATAGGCACTTTCATGTGTTTTGTTTTTCACGTTCATTGGTGACTTGGCTATTGGGCTCCTCTGTTTCCAAAATTTGTATAAATATCACAATTAGAAAAATGCCTGAGGTACTAAATTTATGTTGGCTGTTTGTGTCTTCATGGGTAAATACTGTTTCATTGTTATTGCAATTATATGCTTTTGGAATCCATTTTCCTTAACTGCAGATAGTTGTAAATTGCTTGCTTGATTTTTTTTGTATAATAGTTATTGATATCGACACCAGAATTGTAGATTTTTTGTTGAATGTAATAGAGATCAAAATACTATTCTGCCTGTAAGATCAATAAAAGTAATTGAAAAATAAATATGAACCTTGCAAGTACTAGTTTTGTAATCTTTTTAAGAAAACAGATGTAGTTGTTTCATTTAAAATCAAAGCCTAAGTGGTAATTGGTAAAATAAGCAGAAGTTCGGTATTCAAGATATTTAGCTATAGGATGCTGTATTTTCCTTATAACTCAAAAATTACCAACTCATGATTTATTTAAATACACACAATTTTATGGTTAAAATGAATGACAGCTTAAAGAATAATATATTGATACTGAT